ATAACAGTTTATGACAAGTTACCAAACTTGTGTGAAATTTGACATTATCGTGGTAAAATACTACACCTGTTTTGTTGATCAATTCTGGCCACCTTTTCTGTTTGATGATATTACTCAATTTGTTTACTCAATGGCAGTACACTTTCGAATCAGTTGTTAAATTGTCTGGTAAAAGCTCGAAAAAAAAATTTCCTTAAAATCCCACCAAAGAGAGCATCTCTCTTTAAGAACACATGGAACCCATATATCAAGCTTTGAAACGAAACCAATTTGTTTCAAGTAATCATAAACAGTTCAATTTGTGATTTCATGTGTTGTTATTTGGCAGTTTGCTTCAATCAGTACCTTTATTTTGTTTTCATTGGGTTCAACTGGCCATCCAGAACATGGTGCATCTTCAATATTGAAATTGCCAGAACGAAATTTTGTAAACCAGTTTTGGCACTGTCATTCTGTCAATACATCTTCTTCATACACATCACACAATTTTTTTCTCACTTGAACAGCATTCTTACCTTTTCGGTAATAAAAGAGCAAAATATGCCAAAAATGCTGCTTTCGATCTTGATGGGACACAAAAAATAAACAATTGCACAAAATCAAACAAAATTTTTTACAAATAAGCCTTAAAATGCTAGCTGTCAAAATATATAATGATAATACGGTTTAGAATAAAAATGATGAGAAAAATATGACTAATCCGTCTAGTGGTAAAAAAAATGAACTTACTTTCCGAACAACCTAATAATTTTGACTGATTTGTGGAGAGAAAGAGAAATACAAATGAATATTACCAGAAGTAGCAGTTCTTTTTCAGTTCTCTCACTATTGCCTTGTCATTATCAATGCATGGTCCTTCCATTCTTCTTTAAGGGAACCCCCTTAAAGAAGAATGGAAGGACCATAGTCTGGTTCAAGTATCCAAAAATTTCCAAAAATCCTTGATTACCCAACCCATTTTTCATGTGTGAGAAAGGCTTGGAAATATTCATAGAAAAGCTTTTCTATGAACTTCATACTTTGTATCTTTATTGTACAGTACATTGTTCTTCACATCTGAAACCATTAAATGCAATGTTTCTTCCTATCCATTTTAATGGAGGAAAGGGAAGATTGTCAGTGACCTGAACTCTTACCTGTGATCACCATTCAGTTAGGACTCTGCCTGCAGTGTCCCCTTAGTTTTTTTTTGCCCCCTAGTTTTACTCACCAGTCTCCAATAGCACCTGCTTTGGGAACCACTGATCTAATGAATCGTACAAGTCAGATAGGTGATTTAGCTTTTCATAGGTAGGTATTTAATGTTTATTTGAATTGTGAAGATATTGATATTGCCTTTATTGGTGGGATTATAACTATCTCATGGAATGAGTTCAAATCAGAACCACACACAACTGAATTGCTACCAATAGGATCATTCTGTAGAGGGCAAGCTCTAGGCTTAAACACAAAAGTCATCAGCCTAGGAGTGCAATAACTTTGGGGCGCCAATATCTTAAAAAAGTAAGACTATTAAAGAGGACAAAGAGAGTTGAAGCCTTAATGGAGATGAGTTCAATATTAGCCATTCTAGAAATTTACAAACATTATTGTTTGAAGCTGAAAGATGGTTTAAAAAATTTTCAATTAAGATTAACAAGATTTGTCTTCTATAATAACAGTAAAAGAAACATACAGTAGACTCTTGCTAATCTGGCTTCTGGCTATGTTTTAAATGAATGTGTCTTGTGGATGGCCATCTAATGTGATACCATTTATCGAAACCAAAACCGAAACTTCACGTTTGAGGTTTCAGTTTTGATTTAGAAGTGTGGAAAGTGGTCAACTTTGCATGGTGACCTTCAATTATGACTTCAAAAAGAAAACATGTTATGTTAGAACTCATGCAGAAATTGGAAATATTAGAGAAGTTAAAGCAACTACACTGATTAGAAGATGCAACATTTCAATTGTGCTGTATTACATTTTAAACTTCTTTTACTGTATACAATACTTGTCTCTTATTTGTTTCTTAAATACATGTGTACTACAGACAGTAAACATGTAACATTAAATTTAATAAAGAATTAAACTGATGTGTTTTATCTCTCAGTACTCTGGTACTCTTACTAATTCAGCATTCCTCTGTGCAAGGAATGGTTAGATTAGCAAGAGTCTACTATATTGATAATAATACGAATATTTAAAGACTGTAACAAATCTAGTATATAAATAATAATTGCATAAAATGAGCAATTATTATTTATTGTGACATCATTACAATGCCAGGCTGCAATTTTTAATTGTATTGTTAATTTATTTAATTAAAAAATATATGTTCTCCATTTCAAATTTGTTGTGTCTTGCCCCTGTACATAATACGAGGGCTGTTCGGAAAGTTTGCGGCCTCAAATAGAACAACAAACAAAATAATGTTAAAACTTTTATTTTTCAATGTAGGCTCCTTTGTTAGCAATGCACTTATTCCAGCGATGTTCTAGCTTTTTTATGCTATCACAATAGGTCGATTTGTCAAGATGTGCAAAATACTCGTTCACTTCAGAGATGACTTCGTCATTTGAGTGGAATCTCTTTCCAGCCAAGAATTTTTTTAGGTTTGGAAAAAGGTGGAAGTCACTGGGGGCCAAATCAGGTGAGTACGGTGGATGTGGAACTAATTGGAAGCGAAGTTCGTTTATCTTTTGTTCAGTGATTCTGGCGGAATGTGCAGGTGCATTATCGTGGTGGAACAGAACTTTTTTCTTCTTCAAGTGTGGCCTCTTTTCTTCGATTTCTTTCTTCAGTTTTTCCAAAAGTTCACAGTAATAGACAGCATTAATGGTCTTTCCTCTTTCTAGGTAGTCAATAAAGATGATGCCTTTAGCATCCCAAAAAACCGAGGCCATCACTTTACCCGCTGATGGAACTGTCTTTGCCTTCTTTGGTGGTGGCGAACTGTGGTGTTTCCATTGCTTCGACTGTTCTTTTGTTTCAGGAGTGTAGTAATGGATCCACGTTTCGTCAGTAGTCACAAACCGACGCAAGAAATCCTGTGGGTTTTTCTGGTAGAAGTCCAAACACTCCTTTGACATCAAAGTGCGAACACGTTTTTGCTCGGCGGTCAGCAGATGCGGCACCCACCTTGCTGAGACCTTCGTCATACCCAAATCTTCGGTTAGGATGTGGTGCACTCGGTCGACAGAGATGCCTGTTGTCTCAGCTATCTCACGCGTTTTCAAACGGCGATCTGCTAATACCAAATCGTGAACTTTGTCGATGTTTTCTTCAGTGACAGCAGTTGACGGCCGTCCGCTGCGAGGGTCATCTTCCACACTTTCTCTGCCAGATTTAAAAAGGGCTGTCCATTTTTTCACAGTGGTGTACGAAGGAGCAGACTCTCCCAAAACTTCATCCATGTCAGCTTTGATTTGAGATGGGGGTCAACCCTTTTTTCGTCAGGTATTTTATGACCGCACAAGTCTCCGTCTTCTCCATTTTTGACAAAGCATGTGCACACTGACTATCTGCTAAGCTGTCATGGCAAAACTTTTTGACAAATCAAGCGGAAATTGGTATCGTATCTCTAGCACAGATGGCTGAATTATTCCCGCTAAAAATTAAATTGATCGCAGTACCGCATATAGGCAAGGCCGTGAACTTTCCGAACAGCCCTCGTACTTTTCTTAATAACAACAGTCATGCCAGTCATCTATGTAACTCCATTCAGGGGAAAATTTTTGAATTCAATTCATGTGACTTCTGGTCTAGACTGGAAGTTCATATATAGTTAATTGGGGCCTCCTGCCCCTAAGCTTTCCATATGTGGTCTGGACTTTCATCTATATAATACTGTTCTTGAGATTAAGGAAGGACAGACAAACACAGACGACTAGGAATTTATAGGTCTACAATTTTTTTAAGTTGCAGCCCAATCACTGAACAGATTGTACATACAAGTTTTAGTCATTAGTTTGATGTAAATGTAAAAGAAGAAAAAAATATATTGTTACTAAATATTCAAAAACTACAAGATGTTCAGTATTTATATATACTGTATATGGCAACAAAATTATTTTAATTATACACTTACATGTAAACAAATTTGAATTGTTAAAAAAAATGGATATTAGTAGCAGGGGAACAGTTGTATCTCCTTGGTTATGTCACTGTCAAAAATATTAAATGTTCAGTACCTAAACTTAAAAAGAAAGAAATATGACCTGGAGAATCATACATTTTTTGGGTAATGCAGGTTTCTTGTTTATTTTTTCTTCAAGGAGAAAAAATAAACAAGATATAAATAGAAAAAATATCCATCAAACTTGAGTAAATATTTAGAAAATATACAATGAATTGTATCAGATATAGAAATCAATTTAGTCTTAAGCAAAAAGATAAATTATGACATTGCATTTTTTTTTATTTTGGAATCCACAGCATTATTTTGGCTAAGATGAATTTTAGAATTATTCTCATTAATTCAGTTACATATAAAGAGATATAGAATCTAGATTAGTAATTATTATATTAAGATATTTGGCATTATGTCCATTCTGTAAGAGGAGGAAGAGTATTTAATCATTCCTATTCTGTATTTAAACCATGTTTTAATACAGAATATGAATGATTGATTTTATTTTCATTTTAAATATTTTCATATATTTAAATTTATTAATTTTTTTTAAAAAAAATGAAAATTTTTGGCAATATCTTTGACATCAAAATTATTTTGATTACTGATACTATGTTAAGCTGTTAAGAAAATTTTTTTTTCTTTAAACAAGGGACTAACATGTTTTTAAAATTGATAGAATCTGTCTTTGCAAGAATTACTTGAGCAATAAACTTTATTATTAACCAGTATAGTATTATTATAATTAAATTTACATGTTTACTTTTTATTAAGTTTCAGATTAAATGTTATTTTCAATATATTTATCATAAATATTTTTGAGTCATTTTAAATATTTTGATATATTTAAATTGATTAATTGTTTAATTTGTTTTAAAAACCATTTTAGATCTACTATGATCTCAGAGATTTGGGAAATCCTCGACAGTGCAAGTCTGAACACTTACTCAGGTTACATGATCATTGTCGTCATCCCAGCATAATATGTTTGATTATAATATTATGGATCTATCCAGTTATGAGTTTAGACAGGTTGATGTTAGCAGTGATCCTTACTGTGTATGCACTTTTAGGATTTCAGTCAGATCATCTGGATTATGTATATCAGAAAGAGCAGATGCATCAAAAGAAAATAGAATTAGAACACTATTTTTAATTTTTTTTTCAATTAAAATTAAATCAAATCACATAGTAGTAATTTTAACTAAATAATATGAGATTTGCAACTTGATTAATTTTTTTGATTAATAATACTTACATTCAAAACATTTTCTTAATGTGTATTAAAAATAGCTTGTTTAAATTTTCATTTAAAATAACTAAAGGTGATTTGAAAAGAAAACATTTTAAAATTTTATTTAACATTTTATTATGCAATATGAGATGCAAACTGTATAAAGCTACTTTTAGTCAGAAAAATAAATTTTCATTTATTGACTCCATCTTATTCTAGACTAAGAGGAGCATATAAGAGGATGTTTGTAGCTTAAAATGTTGCCAAACATTACTAGAAACATTTGATGTTGAAATGCATTTTTTGCTCTACTGCAAAATTCGTTTTTCTGACTTTACTTTTTTGTAGATTGCATCACATATATTGTCATTCTTAAAAATTACTTTTCACGAATTTATCTCTGTTAAAATAACAGTAAGTTAATATACCGAAGCATGATAAATATATGAATTTTATTGACATTTGCAAATATATATATATATATACACACGTTATATATATCTTTGTCTATTGCTTATTTTTCAGAGTGTAACACTCTCTGCAAGTATTCTTCGTCTCCATTCTTCATTCAAAAAATTTTTATAGAATGTGGAAAAATATTGTAAAGCAAAATATTGCTAAGTTTTTCTACTTTATAAATATCTGTGGTACAATTCATTTATACAATTTGAATTTTACAATATATGATATTATTCTCATTTTAAAACTACTAATGAGAAATATCATTGTGTGTAACAATGGCAAACTTATTATTTGCATTTGAATAATAAAATAATTTTTAAGAATCTTGTTTTTATCTTTATGATATTTGAGATATAATATGAAGAAATAAAGATTTGGACTGAGAAAAAAAAATATGATTAAGTAAAAGAATAAAATAAGAATAACTGAAAAATATATTTATTATGGTAAGATATACATGATATAAATGATATTTAAGCAGTGAAATTCCGATTGATCTCTCCCGATTCTACAGAAACAGAATTCACACTATTTCTGCAATTGGTACCATTTCCATTTCGAGTACGATTGGTGACATCACCATTAACATTACACTGGACAGTGGCATCTTTGTAATTGCCACAACAGGTCTGTGGAAGACATCTATTAGGTTCAGGACATGGATAAACACATTCTTCTATGATATCCTATATAATTGGAAAATTGTTTTAGTAAATACTGATAAATTGTTGTTTTTATAAAATAAAAATTTAAAAAAAATAAATAATTGAGATATGAAAAAATACAAAAACGGTTTTGTAACAGAACACTTTAATTGCCAGATGATTAATTCATAATTTATTAGTACTAAGTTTATTATCATCACAAATTAATGTTTACATATTAATTTAGTTTATTAATTGATCAAAACATTAATCTGAACAAATATAATTCAATAAAAAATGATTTTATAGAATATAATTTATCAGGTAGTAATAATTATTATTGTTATTAGTAAAACTATTAGTAATACAGTATTTGGTTTTGTTTCTGTAATTAATATTATTAATATTAATTATTGTTTCAATCAAAATTTTAAATAATATAATATCACTTTAAATAAATTTGGAGAATGAAATTTAAATTTTGTTTTTTCAGCTAATCCATCATTATTGAATTTATAATATGAATAATAAGAATATAATTAACAATTTATTTCGATTAAAACTTACATCTTGCCCAATATTGACAAATTCAGGCTGGATAGTGATGGAATGTATGCCTTCTCTATGAAAAAATTCCTTTATTTTACCAGCAATTTTTTGGTAATCTTCTAAATCATGGCACACAATATGCAAGGAAGCTACAATCTTCTCTCCTGCTAACTGCCACAAATGGAATTCATGTACAGCAAGAATTTCTTCTATCTAAAATGAAAATCAATTTGTTTACTTAAATAATTCTAATATGCTGTACATTAGAATTTGAAAGCTTAATTTATATCAGCAACATTAACAAAGATTTGTTCATTATTTCTTAGAGTTTCCTTTATGAAACATTGTGTTGGTCAGATTGCAGTAAGACGTCAGCCTATTGAAATGGAGAATCCAAATTCAAATCTGATACCAAAATTTATTGTGAATAGTACAAAGTCTGGGTATTCTCAGTTCCAACTCCACTGTGTATCACATGGAGTTGTGTAATGTAATGAGGCCCTCATGTAATGAGCAAAATTGTTTGTGCTAGTAATGATGTGTCGAGCAAAAACCTTTCCTCGGGTTTTTGCTTGACTTGTCAGATAATTCTTTTTTTAGTTAAGGCTAAAGGCATTTTTTTGAGATACAAATCTTGTCCTTTGATGTGAGTTGGAAGGAAGACTGCAGTAAAATTTTGAACCATGGCCTGAGGTGAAAGTTGTTCAACTTCTAAAACTCTGGCTTACTATATATCTTTGATATGTTGGAGCCTTACCTTAATAGACCAGTCAAACTAGCAAAGCATTTTATTGTCTATGTGGACTTTGAAACATATAAATAACACCTTATCTTTGCCGAGAAATATATAATATTTATTTCAAAAACAAACGTTTTTGAAATAAATATATTTGTTCAAACTGTGAAAAAGCTGTTTTCTTAAAACTAATTTATGATGCCCTAATACAAATTTAATAAATGCATAGATGTATATATGTATGTTGTGAAAATCCTTAATACTAAACAATTGAATTTCAGTTGTTAAACTTAGTTCCACAGAGAACAAAATCGTTGGCAAAAAGCAATAAGCAGATCAAACATTGCATTATGATAAGTGAGACAAAGTCGGATTAGGGGAGGCCGGGTTGAACTTCAATGAACGTCCATTTTATTAAATTTTACACAGTTTATACATTTTATTATTCGTAAATTGATAAAGATTTTGAGGGGGGTTGAATTTTATTCGACGTCCGAAGAGGGGGGATACTATCGAAACTTGGACAAACTGGGGCAATGGACGATCGTTACCCCAGTTTATTCAATTGGGACCAAGATATTGAGCTTCATAACCAGTATGTTTAACATACTGGTTATGAAGTATCAATATCGTGGTCCCAATCTTTATTTTATGTTAAACATACTGGTTATGAAGTTCAATTGCTATTGTTTTTAAGAAAATAAATTAAGCTTCAAAGAGGGTGAACAAAATCGTGCCTCCCACACACACTGACATACGGGGAAAAATCCGAATTTTTTTACATTTCTCGACGTTAAGGTTTTCTGAGTCCAAAACCGTAAAAATCTGGGGAGATCATTTTTTGACCGATCGCCTTACTTTGGCCTCTGTTATAATATAACAGAGCCGGAAAAGTAAACAGAATTATGCTGCTTGACGCGATGCAACGCATATGTTGCGTTGACGCGATGCAACGCATATGTTGAACAATTATTCGATTGTCGCGCGCGCCAAGTAACGCATATGTTGCGTTGCTTGGCCCGCGCGACAATCGAATAATTGTTCCTGTTTTAGCTAGAGTCCTTTCTTTGATGATATCATGTACTGTACAGTACTGTACATGTGTTAGAGTTATTTATAAGTTTATAAACAGGGGACTGATTTATCAGTAACGGAATCAACCGAAATTGTAATTTAATGTTTTACAAGGTAATAAAAATCACAAAAGAGGTAAAACTAAAAGTTAACAAATTCATTCAAAAAACATAACTTTAGAAACTATCAAACGTATAAATAAAAATATAATTGTTAAATCTGATTTAATCCGTCCACATTTTTAGCACGAGCATATTAATACTAAATATTTGAATATAATAAAAATTAATCAAAAATAATTTACTGAATTCTGAAAATTAAAAAATTATGGCTTGTTTGATAAACATTTAGACTATATAAAGTTATATATTGTAAATTATTAAAATATAAATCGAAATCTTACCTCTTTAGTCAACTTGTTTTCTAATACTTCCATTTCTATATGAGTAGGTACTGTCTGGAGCATAATTAATGATGATTGCTTAACTGCAAGTAAAGGAAATATATGTTGATGAATTTTTAATTAACAATTTAATAAATATTTATTTTCCAATTATTCAGTATGCTTTAATTATTATTCATAATTTTATAAAAATTTTAGTCGAACTTCGTGAAAAGCAACACAAAAATATACTAGACATTAAATAATATAGAATTAATAAGTATTACAACTCTATGAATTGATTCAGATCAAAAATTAAAAAAAAAAAACAAATGTAATATCCACAAGTTTCCAGGGAGTTTGTCTTGGTAACCATTAAGATACTGCAGGCCCACCAGTTTCGTTCCCTGAATACTGGTCGTGTGTTCGCGCCTCGCACGGACTGCTGGCCACTTGTAGTTTTCCGGGTTTTCTTCACGTCCGAAACGCCTGAATAGGGGCCAGTTAACCTTTACCTCCCGGAAGGCATTATTCCCCGCGTACCAACGAATATAAAAACAAATATATAACTACTAACCACGGTATAAGCAATTTCGTCACACTCTACTACGGGGCACCGTAGCCTAGAGGATTTCGCCCAACATGATGACAAGACAAGATACTGATAATTGTTAGCATAGGTATATAATTTTTAGTTTTTCATTGGCGACATGCCTTATAATACCAGTTCAGGTAGATATCATGCATTATTTGGCTGCCATAATAGCCAGAGAGTTTTTTATAAGTGGTTAGAAGCTGTATGCGATGGACATGAAAACGTGATGCATCGAGATGTGAATGATACTGTTGAGACTTTAACAGAGCTGTAGAGTATGTCCTTAAGAGCAAAAATATCAAAGGAACCATACCTCTAAATGTGATCCTTCTCGCGATACAGTCCCCCGAAATCAGCTGTGCGTGCTCCACTAAGACTATCACGTTTAAACTATTTAGTCCACGCGACTATACCTCTTCGAGTAGCCACTTGACTGTTAGTGGAGTACTTGATGTTATAGTTTTAGGGGTTATGGGGCTCACCCTACCTGGGCACCGAGGTGCGAGCGACAGCTAGCTCCGAAGCGCACGACTACATGCTGAGCATGGAGAATAGGCAGTAATACTGGTACACGAAAAAAACTGATTTCGGTCAGTAGAAGTTAATGCATTTATTTGTTATAGGCACTGATCGCCATGCCTCTAACATAACTTGCAAGAATGACGGCGACCGGAACTGCCTCCGTTGGGTTCTACATTTAGAGGCGAATGTCGCGCAATGGGCAAGTCGAACTTTATGAAAAGCAACACAAAAATATACTAGACATTAAATAATATAGAATTAATAAGTATTACAACTCTATGAATTGATTCAGATCAAAATTTAAAAAAAAAAACAAATGTAATATCCACAAGTTTCCAGGGAGTTTCCAAAAGTTGAACTTTTTCTTTATTCTTTGCCGATAAATATCGTTAGAATGTCTGATCACCGTGATATAGTGACTGTAATGTTTAACACGCGATAGGCTTAGTGGATCACGTGGCGTGACTCCCTGTAGCGCTTGGAAGTAGACTTTAGGCTGATTTCGAGGGCTATATCTCGCAAAGGATCACATCTAGAGGTATGGTTTCTTTGGCTTTTTCCCCTATGACCATACTCTACAGCTCTGTGGTCCCAACAGCGTCATTCACATCTGCAAACTTACCATGTATTCAACCGTTCCAGTTACATTCATTTCCACGTGATGAAAATTTAAGAAGAGAATGGGTTAAGAAGAAGCCATGCATGTACAGTACAGTACAGTACACAGTGCCGGCCCGAGGCAAGTTTTAGAATGGAGCGAGATCCTATTATGACGCCCCCCTTAGTTGTCCCTAATTTATACCCTTTGATTTTCTTTACCACTGAGGCGCCCCCTAGGACTTAGCGCCTGGAGCGGCTGCTCTGTTCGCCCTATGGTAGGGCCGGCTCTGACAGTACACCCAGCTAGATAAACAACTTTGCCCTCATCAGACACAAGTCCTTACAGAATGATTACTAGTCGATAAGATTTGTGATGGCTCTACATTTGTCTTAAGAATACGAATGTTTTATGACAATTTATTAATTAAAATTTCACCTACTTTACCACTTGAAAAATAATTATGAGTCAAGACTCCTATAATTAAGCATTTCTTGATAATTATAGGCTTTACTTTTAATAAGATATTCATATATAGCTGGATATTACAAAGGCGGCCATTCTCTCGTCATTATTCCACGATTTTATAATACTAATTCGTGAAAACGACTGTTTATCTGAAAATAAATTAGAAAATCCAAGTTTCTAGAAGAAACTGTGCAACAATCCGAAAATTTTGCATTAGACTTAATGCAAAATTTTCGGATTTCGGAAATTCTATTCTATGAATATTTTTGACTACTTTATGAATTAAATGGCGATATAAACATTTCCTAATAGATAATAACAATAGTTTATTAAAATTACATAAGCCAATTTTGCCAAATATTTTCTAGAAACAAATTGAAATTACTCTCCTTATAATTTAAAATATAAAACCTCTTACATTTACTAACAAAGTGGGCTTATGAACGAATATCTTTTAATAATTTCAAAATCAATTATGTTCTCAATTTTATAGTTTTTGCAGTATCTTAATGGCGGAACACTACGGGAAATACATGTACCTTCTCTGGAAACATGGATAGCTAAATAATTCATTTTAAAACTAATAAATCTATCGCATATAATAGATAACAGATCTTGTTTATTGTATTCTATTATAAATATATTTTTATTGATATTAACGATAAATTTGGAAACCATTTGGCTTTCATTAATAATAATGTTTTTTTTTTTTTTTTTTTGCTAAACAGAAACAATTTTATCTGATATACAGTATAATATAATGGTATATTCTGTTATCAAATACTGTATAGGCTATATCAAGTGCATATATTTTCATATAGTAGGTAACTAGATAAATCCAAATAGAGTGGAGTTACTAGATTTTCCATGATAAATACGTGAAAACATAAAAGTAGAAAAAATGAATTGAACAATAAATTAATTTAATAAAGAGTATATTTAATTATCTGATTTAATGAATTGCACTAAATGATAATGTTAGTGTATTAGCCCTCTTATTTTGCTTAACGTTATTTATTATTTGTTTATTCCTAACTATTTATTTGTTTGAAACTAGCAAATTCCTAAATTTTATTGGTTAATTATGCCAGTGTTCCGCAACCGGTGTGCCGTCACATGGTGAAAGGTGTGACGTGAACTTTTACATATTCTGTTAATTTCAAGTTTTATTTATATATTTTTATCACTGTTTTTGTGTTTCTTAAGCTTGTATTTCATTCTCTGCCGCAGCACCGATGAAATAAGATGATGATTGTAAGCTTTATTACAAGCCATGCATTTTTATGTATTCTAAGAAATTATATGTAAAATAAATTTGCTCACAGGTGTTGATGTCTTTTAATAACAATAATAATTGGTTAGTGGCATTACGTAATTCTATTAATAGTATCATATCATACGTTTTTGAGGGGAATAACATTTTGGTGTGCTGAGTCATGAGTGTGCCGCAAATAGAAAAAGGTTGCGGAACACTGAATTATGTTATAATGTTACTTGTCGGGATATTAAAATAAATAAAATAAGTATATGTCAATTTTGTATATACGGACATCTGTAATAGATATATGATAGCTACAAGTAAAGATATAATTTATGTCTTCAGTTAATAAAATCTAACATTAAAAAAAATTAGTAATTAATAATCAAAATATTTAAAAGTGAATTTGGTCAATGTCCGATCATATGACAACAATTCTCGCTTTTCGTCATTTTTCTCATGTCATGTGCAATATGATACTTTCTTTTATACTCTTTCCGCCCTGCGACCATTAGTTAAGAAGGCTTTCCTCCATGCCCCTCGTCAGTTCGGTAGCCCACAATGGAGCCGTCAAGTGGTGGAGAACGTTGCCTGACATATCTGGATACATACCTCCGATAAAAAATTCCTGGGGTTGCGTATCAAGATTCGATCCTGGATCCTCAAAGTGATTGTCTAACACCTAATTGTCTAGGCCATCCAGTCACTACAATACGACATTAATTCATTCGTCGTATTTATGGTCTGCTTCTTTGTCTGAAGAATGTGCTTTGCAATTTTTCTGTTATGATTCAGATATAGGTACTTAAATGAATACACGCAGAACCGTCGAGAGGGGGAGCTGAGGAGTTTTCTTCGGGTCAGATTGATCGTTATCCCCTATAAAATTTAGCGTGATTTTTACTAAGAGAAAATAAAATCTTTAAGGCTGCTTTTATTAAAGAAACGTTTTACGTATTTCATTTGTTCAAAAGAACAAAAGAATGAACAGTCCGTATGAGGCAAAAGATCAGTCTACCTTCGAACCCCACGCAGGTTCTCGATGGCCATGGTTTCATTCTTCATCTAAGAGATATGTTTATAATGTACTGTACAGTACGTCGCGCGTCGTACAGAACTACCAATTTCAGAAATATTGTTTAAATTGTCCATTCCATAGAATAAAACATGCTAGAGCGCGCCTATTGGCTGCAGAAACGAAAGACCCCGACTTCGAAATTACATACTACATTTTGTGTTTTTTATGACCGTTGATTGCTTTGTGTTTGTAGTTTTTATAGCGATGAAACGTCTAGAGTGCATGCATCGGATGCTAGTCTGCTAATATGTGTATGGATTGCATCCTACTTGGTTAATAACAGTGTTATATGGGGTCAAAATGAAGAAATAGCTAAAGAAAAGAATTAATCTGATTATGTGTTGTTTGTGTATGTATCTGTGCTTAGAATTTCCTGAGCACATGACGTGTTTAGTTTAACAGCTTTCTGTAGCATGATGTATCTGCTGTGGTGAAATCTTAACGATTTTATATTTTTGTATAGTGTATTAAGTGGTATGACGCCTGTGCAAGAAAGGACTATAGGCACAAAAAGCCTATGCGTTTTCAATGTGTCTTTTGTATGTTGTGGGTGTCTGAAACTGCTGTGTTCTTAATGTATATATTTTTTTTTTTGATTATCCTTGTTTTTTCTTTTACTCTTTCCGTTCTTTGGAGCCTTAGCTACAAAGAACGGAAAGAGTAAAAGAAAAAACAAAGGGCCTTTTAATCAAGTCGATCGTGGATTTGGTCAGGCCGATTGGAGAGAAACGGAACCCGCATACCGGGACGGACTATCACCGAAAAAGTTTTTAGACCTTTCCAGAATACGTCCCTAAGAGATCCTGTTGCTGGATCTCTTAGAGACGTAGACTACCAACTGACCTACTCCACCGTCGATATTTGGTCTATTGTGATGGATAGTTTTATCTGTGATTATGACTATGTCCTAGTATATTTTGTGTGTATTTTTTTGTGGTCGTTGATTGCTTTGAATGCTAATAGTTATTCAGAAATCTAGTAGACAGATTATTATTATAGTAATCAAATCCATGTTGAGCCTTGATTATATTTTTGCAATTAAAAAAAATTGTATTTATTATATTAAATCAAAACTTTTTCATATGTACAGGATTGATTTTTAAAATTTTATTTTGTACATTTTTTAAAAGTTTTAAATTAAACTAAATATAGTCATCACAAATCTCACTATAATATAAAAATGATTTTATATTATAGGGAGATTTTTAGCAATTAAAAACGATATTAATATTGGCTGTTTATCCGGAAAGTTTCTCGAAGATTAAGATATACTGTATTTGGAAATTTTTATTCCTTTGATTTTGTTTGGAAATAAAGCCAAAGGGCCAGAATAAAGCCAAAGAAATTCCAGATATTTGATTTCATCGAAAGATAAACTATTAAGTCAATTAGTAGAGGAGAAGGTGGTATTATGGAACACTGCGGGTATTATGGAACCACCACATTTCGAACTGATAATAAAGGCGAACTGTAGCGGAATGTGGCTGAACTGAACTAGGCAGACATCCATAGCAAGGGGAAAACCCGTTTTACTTCAGTTAAACGGTTGTCCGTATTTAATCAGCAAATTTGTTTTTTTCAAAATTCGCAAGTTTTGAATGCTAAGTGAATTTAATTATTTTTAAAATATAAATCGTGTAGTTGTAGGTTCACTGGTGCATGTATTCCGTTCCAGAGACTTAGGGGTACATATTAATCTGTGTGATGTTCACGTTTTTTAAATTTTGGTCTTGACAGACATAAGTTAATTCGAGATGGCGATGCGTGAAATACGGACCCCATTGGTGCTTTTACAGTAATATGGAACTCAACTCCTCCGAACTTTCTATTTGCAAGCAGACATTCCTCCAGAGCAATTTGTGAAAAAGACACTAGGTAGAAAGCCAATTCTTCCTGAGAATATCGAAAAAGAGCTGCTGGAATATATATTGTTGATGGAGGTCATATTTTTCTATTATAAAAGCATTTTTGCGATAAAATACATTGGAGTAAATAATTTTGTAATTATTTAACATTTTTTGTCCTTTCCTATTTGTTTTTGGCTACATTAAAGCATTTTTTTGAAAATATACAGTAAGGTTCCATATTACCACCCGATTTTCTCTAAGCCTACTTTCGGACTTTTTGTACAAAAGCCTTCAAAAACCATACTTATAATTACACTAGCGAAAAATCCAATTAGGAACATTTAGAATAAAACTTACCAGTACTTTTCGCACAAAAAATGTGGGTGTAGTTATGATACCTTGTTTACAATTCACTAACATGTAATTGGGGTTCCATAATACCACCTTCTCCTCTATATATTGTTTAAAATTCAAATTACTTGATTATCTTATCTTAGATAAAATGGTCAGGACGATAAGTATACATTTAAAATTTTTTTTTAAATTTCAAAAGTGACAATATATTAAAAATGTTGTTACGTAATTTTTGTCCTCAGTAAGTCTCACGGCGGAGTCGACCTTTCTTTAGAAATTTTTCGTCTGCCTCAATATGTAAAATGTTATAAATGTTTTTTAACATGTGCAGAAAGAATAAGATATGAAGACATTTTTAATATATTGTTTGATATATATCATTGTTTCTTTTGAAATGTTTGTAAATTTTCTAACTTGTAAGTGTATCTTAGTTTATTGAGCTGCAATTTGAAAAAATTGTAGACCTATAAATTTCCACTGTCGTCCGATGAAAGTCAAGACCAAATATGGAAAGTTTAGGGGCAGGAAGCCCCGATTAACTATATAAGAACTACCGCTTTGGGCCGGAAGTCACGTTATTTCAATTGAAAAATTTTCTGAACGGAGTTAAGCGTGATTTACACTGGACGCGAAGGACGCGAAACGTAACAAAGGGAAGAGATCTATGGACAAAACGAGAGCGTACGTAATCTGGCGAAGCCAGTTAAAAATTTTCATGGGAGTACGCGACAGATAAAACGTGTTGGCAAGCGCAAGCTAATGAAATCAACGTTTTCACCTCAATTAGAGTTCTCGACTCACGGCAGGAAAAAAATGGCACCAAATAATTAAAAAGATCCATATTGAAACGAGCGATTATTTATTGACATTGTTACAGTGCTCGACTACAATTTTTAATTATACTTTTAATTTATTTCATTTAAAATATATGCTATCCACCTCAAATTAGTAGTGTCTTGCCCCTGTACAGTATCAATAGTAGTGTTTTCTTTAAAAATATAGTCGTGCCAGTCATCTATTGACTGTTTTCAGGGGAAAAGTTTTGAATTGAAATCGGAAGTTCATATATAGTTAATAGTTAAGTTCATATTAGTTAAAGGGCATACTGCCACTAAAGTTTCCATATCTGATCTCGGATTTCACCTATCGAATTCCGTTATCGAGATTAAGAAAAGACAGATAGACGGACGACAGTGGGAATTTATAGGTCTACAATTTTTTTCAAATTGCAGCCCTGGTATACTGATATATAATTAAATTTCGATAAGCTACAATACACAGTAGACAAAAAAAAAGAAGTTAACGTGACAACTGCAGTATATATCGAATTTTTAAAACGCCATTTATATGTAAAAGTTCGAAACTGGAATTCATGGCATCAATTGCAATGCAAATGAAATTCGCTTCGCTTGCCTCGTTTGCTTTGTTTGCACTCTTCGTTTTCGCGTCCTTCGCATTCAGTGTAAATCTAGCTTTAGGTATACTACCGGCATGACTTCAGTGTTAACAGGAAAATATCATATACAGGGGCAAGACACTACTAAAAGAATTGAGAACGCTGATGGAAAATTGCAGCCCGGAATTGAGACGATGTCACAATAAATAATTGCTTGTTGATCTTGTTTTTTCGTCGCAATTCGCTGTTGTTTCATCCATTTCGCCGCATTAATTAGATTAATATATTTTGCAATTACAATATTTTTTGTTTTTATAATGAATGTGAATCATAGATTTCATAATTTTGAAATTTTATTAAACTGAATATAAATAATCTTTTTAAGTTAAAAAATGTCAATTTATCCCAAAAACTAAACTCAAAAAATACTACTTACGTAAAGGCCAAGTAGATTTCGATATGATGAGAACAATGATAACGCTGTGGAAAAACAAAATTTTATATAATTCATGGTATTTTTTCTAAATAATTTTATTAAACATCAATATTTTTTATATTTATAAGCAAGTTTACTAAAAATAATTAAATTAAATTTTGCCCTGAGTGTTTATTTGACTAATAATCAAAAGAAGGAAAAACTCCACCAACTATCACCATCATAAAAATTATAATAACAACTATTTTTTGTATGTTATTGCTTTTTAGTTTATTATGTGAATTTTTGAACGTATTATTTAATATAAAATTAATTAATGCAAATATATCAGTTTTAAACATGAATTTCTCAAATGTAGAGATCTGTCTTTTAAACAAACTGAAAAAGTATAACTAAAATGAAGCTTTTAATTGTTATGGTGGTATTTGAGTTCAAATCGCATTCAAAACAAATTCCCTTTTTCTTCAAAATGACTCATCTTAATACTAAAAAGTAGAAAGGATATCAGAAGATAAAATTACTTACAATAATTAAATTTTTCACAATATTTTATCAAATCAAATAGGAAAAGAAATTTCAAATGATGTTGATAACGCTGCACAAACGAATTACTTGTAGTAAAAAAATAGAATAAGACTGCAGAAAGGAGTGAATAATGTAGGAATGAAATGAAATGCATAATTTTCATAAATTTATAACTTTAAAATATTCTCTAAAACAGAAATTTATTTTTGTTCAAATACCAGAAAGAAATAAAAATAATTTCTTGGCCGGATGTATCGAAGTGGCTAATATTTGTTTCTGCTGGTTTGGAAGATTCGGATTCGAGTTCAGATCAGTGACAAAAATTATTTATCGATGATCTGGCCTGTATACGTCAATTATATCCTCTTTCAGCCAGTCGCTCCTATGCTAACTGAAGAAAGATGTAGAACCTACCATCAGATTTCACACTATATGAAACACTGGGATTGGACCATCGAAACTTATTGGGTGTGAAACAGTATTTCTATAAATTTGTAAATGTAAGAGACCGTAAAAGAACGGAAACTTAAAATTTTAATAAAGACATGCAAATACAAGAACTTTATGATAACTTTACTTGTAATGGAGCCTACAGTTTTCTTTCATATTGAGCAGTGATGAAATAAAATTATGACCTGAACCCTGGATATGTCGGACTCCATCCCTCACCACTCGGCTGCTCAATTGTGGGCTTGACTGAACAATGATGAGATGGGAAAAAGACTTTCCTAGTGCCCACAGGGCAAAAATTTCTCTGCGTGTTCATTTGAAAATCGAAAACAATATAATGCAGGAATATTGTGTATTAATACAAAATATGGATATATTTTACAGCCACATGCCTCACACTGAAGACACATTGATGTGTCATGCTGATTCTAAAGTTGTTGCTTGTGGCTGAAGACCACAAGTTTGAAAGCAGTATATAAGGCCGTAATGTTTCTGAGTAGAGATTGATATGATGCAATTCATCTTTCTAAAACATTTCATACATGCTCTATCTGATTAGGGTCCGGAGATCTTATTGGCCACTCCATAGTAAATATTACGTAACACTGTGCATTATCATTCATGAATATGAAGCCTGGACCCATAGTGCTTCTGAAACTCACACAGGGTTCCAGGATCTCGTCCCTACATTTGACCATTAATAGTATCCAGACAAAAATGTGAAGAGTTATCCGCGCTTTGAATACATGAATAATGTTATAACTAATCCACTACACTCGCAGATAATGGTCGGAGGAGAATCTTTAAACTGAATCTTGACTCATCTGTGAAGAGGACGTTGCTCCATTGACTCGTTATCAACTGACGTTGTTTCTTGACTCTAGCTTAACATTCTTAATGATTTTCTATGCGCAACAGTGAGTGGATACAAATTACTAGACCTCTGTTATATTTAGACGACCGGATGGCCGAGCGGTCAAGGTGGCAGCCTACCGCTCTGGGGGACCCGGGATCGAATCCGAACGGGTCAAGGAATCCCCAGGAAATTTTTCGGGGGATGGTCCGTTCGGATATGTCGGTCCCCGTCCCTCACCACTCGGTCGCCCCATTGTGGGCCTGGATGAACCCATAACGGGCCTGCTATAAGAGGCCTTCCTAGTGCCCACAGGACGGAAAGAGTATAAAAAAAGACCTCTGTCATAGAGATTATTAGCCATATTCCTCAGATAAACAGTTTATCATGAAACTTGCTCTCAACACTGCGGACAGTTCTGTGCTATCATTAACATTTTCCTAGGATTTAATGAATTAACGATATAACGATCCTGCCAAAGAACTTTAACTTCTGAACGTCCTGGTACTTGCTTGATCTCATCTGTTGCCTGGAACCTTCTTCAAAAGACTTAGCATGTTACTTTGTGACACATTCAACGCTCTCGAAATCTGCCTGCATTTCGCCTGCTTCTAACCTGCCAATAATTCTATTTCATAAAATCGTCCATGTGACATCTTTGTTCCATCAGAAGTCCAAGGAAAGTAATCGACGATTATAGCCGTATAGGATCGTTGTAACTACATGATTTGCATACCTTTTGCATTTATGTCATTTATGAATGCATACTGATTAATTTAAATGTGCGATTACATACAAATATCTCCGCTGTTCTACTGTTTCTTTTTGTATAATTATTACTTTGACGATTATGCTTAACTTTTGGATACCAGTGTTTTATGATAAATGCAAAAACAATTTACATTTTCAGTATTTAGTATATTTAAGCTGTAGTTCAATTATTTTAGCAATTCGATCCTGAAAGAATTGAGATATACCCCGTATATCAGAATATATATTGCTGAATTAAAAGTGAAATGTAATTATTATTATTACTACAAATATTGTTTTTTTTTATCGTCGCATATTTTCTATTGTTTTGATAAACTCCTGACAGAAATCTCGTTGAAACTTCATTTCCCAATTTTCAACTTAGCCTACTAATAATAAATGCGCTGTTTAGTCGTATGATCTATTAATGTAATGAAAGTAAAGAGTAAATAACAAAGTAAAAAGTAAAGACAAATTATTTATTCAAACATTTGCAACAAATGCAATGTATTCACTTTACGTTTTATATCAGTGTTTCTCAACCTCTAACGAATCGTCGCCCCCCTTCTACGTATATCGCCCCCTTCAATGAAACCGTTACGTAGTATCGCCCCCTNACAGCTACAGGCAGCATATATCATTATATCGGACAGTAATATATGATTAATTTTACAAAACTAATTACAAGCAACCCAGATAAAGTAGCCATTTTGTAAAAATGCAGCTCCCTCTATAGTTCATGAAAAACGTGAATAGCAAAACCAGTCAAACAAGTATAGAAGGGAAAGTATAACAAAACCAGTCAAACAAAGTTGCTTGACTAGTTTTGCTATATTTTTGTAGCCTGATGGGTAAGAATGTTGTCTCCAGGTACAGAGGAAAAAAAAAATTTTTTCAGAGATTAAAAAATAAAATGCAAATTTTTAAATAATCATTGAATTTATAATATGGAAATATTCCGATAAACAATAATTATTTATCTGATAGAACAAGACTCTTCAAGAATATTAAAATTAAATTAAAAACTTAAATATTTTTTTACCTGAGGAGTGGATCAACATATGCTCGAAATGACCAGTTTGTTAACCAAATGATCAGAGCACTGACAATAACAATAACAGAACCCAAAGCATCGGCTAAGATGTGAAGAAATACTCCGTACATATTCATTTGAGTTTCTGAAGCTATTAAAAATAATGATGTTATATCTTAGTGATAAATCAAGATCTATTTAATTAAAAAAGGCTATTTATTTGTAACGTATTCAATTATAATCACTAATTTTTCATAAAATTTCAATATATTTATTTTTAACACCTATCAAGCGCAAATAAATTAAGTATGAAATTATATATATTTCTAAATTGATAATTCGTAAAACACCTTATAAATTAATAACATTTGAGAGTCTATGTATCTGTTATATCAAGAGGAAATTTCATATATTTATGATTTTTATCAAACAAATTAATATTAATACTGAATATAACAATTCTTTGATTATATCAAAGAAGCCAAGAAATTGAGTGTATTTTTATTAATTTATTGTATTTTATGCTTGACTGCTAACATTATTTTATGATATGCATTATTTTCATAAATAATCCTAAAAATAAATTATAGAATAAACTGCATTTATACAGTATTAAATTACATAAAATATTAACATTTTTGAATAATTTTCAATTTTTTCATATTTAGTGAGAAACAGAGCCATAACTAGGGTATGGCCAATGTGGCCCCGCCATAGGCACCGATTTAATAAAGGCACCAACGAGAAGGTTTCGAAATAATATGTATGCGAAATTAATAACACAAAAAAAATTTATATTTATATAGTGTTTAAATGTCGTTAGATAATTTTTTTACAATAGCAGTTTTTTAGAATAAAATTATTTTTTTTATAATAAAAATTAAAAAGGCGTCATTTTTATTCTTGGCCTTAGGCGTCCAAAATCCTAGATACGGCTCTGGTGAGAAATATCGGATAAACTTTATTCTAATATGTAAAGAAAACTTACTATTGATCGTTAATCAGTAGACTATTACAAATATAGTATATTATATTTGACCATATTTATATTAAAAAATGGATAATTTTAGTTGCTAAATTTTAGTGAATGGAGAATAAAAACAGTATGATATTGTACTTCTTAAATCTCACAACTTGACAAATGATAGGACTCATCATACAAGATATATGTTTAGAAGAGCAGGGCAAAATTAATCACTTTGAATTGTTGTTTTTGTATGAATTTTAGGTCTAAACCCTTCTTCAGCACTTGACAATTCTTCAAAAAAACTGGTAAAGTCAGAAAGAAATTATAATTGAGTTGCTTGGGGTAACACAAATGGTAAGCGCCATTGCCATCGTCCTGGTGTGATCTTTTGGTTCTTTTACAATTATGTCATTAAAAAACTAGATTGATTACAAAACACTTTCAGTAAAAGATTGATGTTAGAATAAATTTATTCAGATTTATGGTTTTTATTTTTGCTGTATTCTAAAATTTCCATTTTGGCGTTTACCATTTTGTTTCCCCAAGCAGTTCAATTTTAATTTAAAATTAACACATAAAAGACACACATATAATATCATATGTAGAGTACTAAATAATATGTAAATTTTTTAAAAATCTAAATGTAAAACTAAAACGAAATTACCTGGAAGGGAAACACAGTTATAGATTTTATATCTCAAAAAAGTGATCTAAAAATTAAAAGTATTTTTAAAGAATTGTCAAGTGTTGAAGAGGGGTTTTAGACCCGAAATGCACACTAAAACGACAATTCAAAGTGATCACTTTTGCCATGCTCTTCTAAATACATATCCTGTATGATAAGTCCTACAGTACATTTTTCAAGTTGCGAGATTTAAAAAGTATAACGATTGAATAGGACAAGAAGCTTTGAACACAATATGATATATTTAAATATCCATTGAAAAAAGGTTTGTAATTTATTTTATGTAAGTTAATAAATTACAAATGCATATTTATATTGATTTTATTTTGATGTATTTCACATTAAATTTTCAATTTTTCGACACATTTTAAAAATTGGAGAAAATATAATTTAGTTATTATACTAACCTAATTCTGTTTTCTTTCCACTAGGTTTTTTCTCAACTTCTACTTCGGTCATTTCTAAAGAAGTGCGATATCTCATTCTTTCTACTTTTATTTCTTCATTCAATACATCGTCATATACTGGCAAGTCTTGTTGATCTTTCTTACTAACACTATGGGCATGACCATGGTCTGCAATGAAGAAAACAGCACATTTAACTTATTATTTATATTTTTTCTGCATTGAGATAATTAAGATTTTTGCGATATGTATTGAGAAACAATGAAATCATCGGATGGAATTCATAATTTCCGATTCCAAACTAAAATCAAATTTATTAGTTTATTAAATATCTTCAAACATGTTCAAAATGAGATAAAATATAAGCCTATAGGTGAATTTACACTTATAACGATTGATCAAAATAACACTTGATATTTTTGTTAAATCAACGCTATTGAAGATTATTTGTATTAATTTATGAATTCAAAAGCAAAGAAAATCTAGAAAGAGAATTTTAAAAATTTATCCGAAGAAGGACTGTTTACAGGATTTTTCCGAAGTCCTTGCAAATAGCAACTTAAATAATAACTGATAGAAATTTAATAAGTTTGTTATACAGTAGAGTGTCGATTATCCGAATCAATTGGGGACTGGGGTTGTTCGGGAGAAAAAACGATGTTTCGGATAACCGATTATGTGCGAAAAAATATATTAATTTATCCCATGTTGAAATTTTTCTCCGTTGCGTGTCGCTTCGCGTTGAATTTTCGTCGATGTTAAGCCTAACGAAGACTATTGTATCGTTACATATAGGTTTCTTCACCTTGGCTATATAGAGTTTACATTGAAAAAAATATATACATAGGGGAGATCAGGGCAACTTCGGCATGCGGGGCAAGTTTGTCAAGCGCTTTTTTTTTAAAAACAAATTAAAAGGAGACTTTGGTTATAGGTTAGGCAGTTGAGTTTTATTGGTGGCTTGTTGAGTGTAGTGTTTTTATTGTTCTCCAACAAGCGTAGTTGAATTATCAAGCAAATTTTCATTTTCGTTCAATTCCATATAATATTTTTTTTCCATTTATATTGAATTGGCAGGTTTTGTTATAATTCCATGATAACGAAAGT